ACGCTCCTTCTGGTGCAAGAGCCTCTTCCACAAAAATGGCAGCTCATTAGATATGCAAATGAGGCTCAGCGATATTCCACGTTTAGCCTCATTTGCATATTTCTGGCGCAAGAACCCGCCAGTGTAGACGTAGCCCAAGAGTCCCGACTTCCTGCTTGAACCACTCTCCTGTCTAGGGGCAGAATGAGACCGACCGAGTCTTGCTTCTGTCTGGCTCTAACCCCTAAACCGCACTGCTTCCTGGAGCTGGGACTGGACCGCAGGAGTCCTCCTGCCCAGCCTCGGCTCTAACCCCCTGCACAAAACTCCTTGTTACTACAGGAGGGTGAAAAATCGGTTGATCCTTAACCATGTGAGGAGCACAGTCCGTGCTGACACGGCACTGGCACCTAGAGGGGAGATCCTGGGGGCACAAATGCGGGGGGTGGGGGCGGCTTTCACAGCGAATAAGGAAAATCTGATTAAGGAGTCCCTGACCCATGAGCTGACAGCTGGGTCCCTCCATGGTGCCCAGGCCTCCTGGGCCAATCGGATCCCTCTGCTCAGCCGGCCCATTTTAAAAATAGCTTTCTGCACCACGTGTCTCTTCAAAATGTCAGAGTGGGGAGAAAGACAAAAGAGACTTCAGGCAAAATCAGGGACACAGAGAGGTGAAGACTCGGGTGTTTCACAGGGAAAACGTGGAAGTTCTGCATGCAAAGGGCTCTGGGGGAGCAGCAGCCAGGCCTGCATTTACAAAGAAAGAGCTAGGGGTTCCCCTGAAAATCAGAGGGCTGAGTGTCCGGACTCTGAGTCCTCTTCTGGGCATGGGCCAGTGCAGGGAAAGGGGGTTGTACTCTTGGCACTGGTATGGGGAGTGCACTCTAGAGCAGTTAACTGTGAGCGATTCTTGGCAGTGCTCCAATTATTACAGCAGGATTTTATGTCTCCATTGAGCATCAGGATTCCTGAGTTCTTTTCCCTTCTCTCAGTCAAGTCACATGTGAGTGTGCCTCAGTTTCCCCATCTGGAAAGTGGGGTTAATGATACTTGAAGATCCAGGACTGAAAGGCGCTGTTTACATGCCGGGGGTTTGATTTGAGGACCTGATCCAGGCATAAGTTTTATCATCCAGGTAAAATGCCCCAGATCTGCAGGCCCCCGACCTCAGATTGTATTGTAACAAAATTCATGACTATTCAGGTACATCACAGCTATCGCTCTGCTGTACAGCATGGCTCGATAGCAAGGGCAGAACTCCAATCTTCCTGCTCTGAACGCCTCTCGACTTAATGGAGACTCTCTATTAGCGGTTGGCAGTAGAGGACCTGTGACACCCGCTGCTGGAGCTCTGATTCCAGGCACTGGGGCGCAAGACACAATGTGCGTCTGAACCTCTTCCGCTGGCTCCATCCCAGCACTGCTGCATAGATTCGGTGTCTGCTTTCTGAACATCCCTGCAACCTTCAATAGATTGCTCTCTTCCTTGCTCAACAGCTGGCTTCCTTGCTTCTCCCAGAGGCAGTTGCTTGGGATCCGTGCAGCAACCAGCAGTGAGCACGGATCTGCAAGGCAGCCCCCGCACCTCCCAAGAGACTTGCTTCCTGTTTGCATTGCCAGGCAAATTCCATTTCGCCTTTACACTGGACCCTCGGACGTAGGGATGCTGAGTGCCCCGATGTTTTTTAACTTAGTAACAAAATGTGCTTATCTAATTCCCAACCCCCCCCTTGGCTCTCCACACTTTTCTCGTTGATCCTTCTTTGCTATAAGCACTAGACCCTACTGCCCTCCTAGAACAGAGGAGTCCTGGCGCCCAGGATCCCCCCTCCTCTAACCACTAGTCTCTACTCCCACAGAGGAGATATACAGCAGAACTCTGTACAAGATGGGTATCAGGGGAAGTCATCAATCATGGACTTCTCTCCAGAGCTTTAGATTCTGATACGCCTTGGGCTTTGGCCAGAGAGCACCTTGATGATCAGGGCTGAGATCTAGAATGGGATTTGCTGCCATGTTTGGAACTAGCTGGAGTTTTCTGAGCACAGAAGGCTTCATGCCCGGGTGTAAAGGGCCCCCCCTATTTGTGAGCGCCCCTCAGTGGCCGAGGGGAGTCTTGTAATCTCTCTGCCCAGCTGTCTGCGGGAGAGGAAGTGTTCGGTATGTGGCCTGGGACCAGGCTTCTTCTTACTGCCTGTTGTGGCTGCTGAGGGGTGGAGAGGACCCAGGCCTGCCCACTCCTCCGTAGTCCAGGCCCAGGGACCCTGTGAGTATCAGTTACCTACCAAGTCTCAAAGAGGTCAATTCCTGTCATGTTCCCTGGCCACTTGCATGGAAGCTGCTCTGTCCAGCCCTTTTTTCTTGGGCCTTGTGACTTATACGCTGCTAATGGAGGTCAGATTAGATCCATCACCTGAGAGAGAGAGCCGCATCCCATGATCCCCCAGTCTATACACAGTGGAGAAGAGCAACTCAGCTTGCCCCCTGCACTAGGACCTGCTCCCACTCTGAGCCCCGTGGGTGTCATGGCGATGATGTCACAGCCCGATGCAGCAGCATCACACACTGAGCAGTGAGGGCGAGGGAGGCTTGGTTGCGGCGCCTGAGCAAACTCTGAGCCTCCTGGCTGGACAGACCTGTGCCAATCATGGCTGAAGGGGAGAGGGCTGAATGGGAAGCCCTCCAGAATGCTTGTGGGAAGAGGGGTTCTCCTTGCGAGGTGGAAGATGAAGTACAGATTCAGGGAGTCAGCAGTAAGACCCCAGAGCTCTGTCTACACAGAGAAACCCTCTTGTGCAATGCCGCTACACTGATTATTTTCAGGAATAACGGCATCGCGCAAGATGTTTTTTCTTGCGCAAGAAGGGGCAGTGTAGACGCTCCTTCTGGTGCAAGAGCCTCTTCCACAAAAATGGCAGCTCATTAGATATGCAAATGAGGCTCAGCGATATTCCACGTTTAGCCTCATTTGCATATTTCTGGCGCAAGAACCCGCCAGTGTAGACGTAGCCCAAGAGTCCCGACTTCCTGCTTGAACCACTCTCCTGTCTAGGGGCAGAATGAGACCGACCGAGTCTTGCTTCTGTCTGGCTCTAACCCCTAAACCGCACTGCTTCCTGGAGCTGGGACTGGACCGCAGGAGTCCTCCTGCCCAGCCTCTGCTCTAACCCCCTGCACAAAACTCCTTGTTACTACAGGAGGGTGAAAAATCGGTTGATCCTTAACCATGTGAGGAGCACAGTCCGTGCTGACACGGCACTGGCACCTAGAGGGGAGATCCTGGGGGCACAAATGCGGGGGGTGGGGGCGGCTTTCACAGCGAATAAGGAAAATCTGATTAAGGAGTCCCTGACCCATGAGCTGACAGCTGGGTCCCTCCATGGTGCCCAGGCCTCCTGGGCCAATCGGATCCCTCTGCTCAGCCGGCCCATTTTAAAAATAGCTTTCTGCACCACGTGTCTCTTCAAAATGTCAGAGTGGGGAGAAAGACAAAAGAGACTTCAGGCAAAATCAGGGACACAGAGAGGTGAAGACTCGGGTGTTTCACAGGGAAAACGTGGAAGTTCTGCATGCAAAGGGCTCTGGGGGAGCAGCAGCCAGGCCTGCATTTACAAAGAAAGAGCTAGGGGTTCCCCTGAAAATCAGAGGGCTGAGTGTCCGGACTCTGAGTCCTCTTCTGGGCATGGGCCAGTGCAGGGAAAGGGGGTTGTACTCTTGGCACTGGTATGGGGAGTGCACTCTAGAGCAGTTAACTGTGAGCGATTCTTGGCAGTGCTCCAATTATTACAGCAGGATTTTATGTCTCCATTGAGCATCAGGATTCCTGAGTTCTTTTCCCTTCTCTCAGTCAAGTCACATGTGAGTGTGCCTCAGTTTCCCCATCTGGAAAGTGGGGTTAATGATACTTGAAGATCCAGGACTGAAAGGCGCTGTTTACATGCCGGGGGTTTGATTTGAGGACCTGATCCAGGCATAAGTTTTATCATCCAGGTAAAATGCCCCAGATCTGCAGGCCCCCGACCTCAGATTGTATTGTAACAAAATTCATGACTATTCAGGTGCATCACAGCTATCGCTCTGCTGTATATCATGGCTCGATAGCAAGGGCAGAACTCCAATCTTCCTGCTCTGAACGCCTCTCGACTTAATGGAGACTCTCTATTAGCGGTTGGCAGTAGAGGACCTGTGACACCCGCTGCTGGAGCTCTGATTCCAGGCACTGGGGCGCAAGACACAATGTGCGTCTGAACCTCTTCCGCTGGCTCCATCCCAGCACTGCTGCATAGATTCGGTGTCTGCTTTCTGAACATCCCTGCAACCTTCAATAGATTGCTCTCTTCCTTGCTCAACAGCTGGCTTCCTTGCTTCTCCCAGAGGCAGTTGCTTGGGATCCGTGCAGCAACCAGCAGTGAGCACGGATCTGCAAGGCAGCCCCCGCACCTCCCAAGAGACTTGCTTCCTGTTTGCATTGCCAGGCAAATTCCATTTCGCCTTTACACTGGACCCTCGGACGTAGGGATGCTGAGTGCCCCGATGTTTTTTAACTTAGTAACAAAATGTGCTTATCTAATTCCCAACCCCCCCCTTGGCTCTCCACACTTTTCTCGTTGATCCTTCTTTGCTATAAGCACTAGACCCTACTGCCCTCCTAGAACAGAGGAGTCCTGGCGCCCAGGATCCCCCCTCCTCTAACCACTAGTCTCTACTCCCACAGAGGAGATATACAGCAGAACTCTGTACAAGATGGGTATCAGGGGAAGTCATCAATCATGGACTTCTCTCCAGAGCTTTAGATTCTGATACGCCTTGGGCTTTGGCCAGAGAGCACCTTGATGATCAGGGCTGAGATCTAGAATGGGATTTGCTGCCATGTTTGGAACTAGCTGGAGTTTTCTGAGCACAGAAGGCTTCATGCCCGGGTGTAAAGGGCCCCCCCTATTTGTTCTATTGCACTGCCGTAGTCCAGCTGCACAGTGACATTAGCCCAAGTAACTGAGACCAGCTCCTTGTCTGTCACATAGGGTGGCGTCTCCTTGCTGGGGGGAGCAGATAGGAAGCATTCGACATGGATAGTGTTGTGGGAGAGCGCATCAAGGAACCCAAGAGCATGCCAAGACTGAGTTGACCCCTGGTAAGTGTGAACCGCTGTCCAAAGGAGACATTTTCAAAGTACTTCCACCAGCAGGGGGTTCATCGAGTCTTGCTTGCATTCCGGTTTTAGCCCGCTCTTCTCTATCCCGGAGCTGGTTCCTCCAAGCACTGTGCCATCTTGGTGGTAACGTGGAGCGGGATAGGTAGGGCCACGGGTCATCTGCATATTGCTAGAACTCCACAAGGGAGGGGACTTCTGGTGGAGGTGCAGCATCCCACCACTCATATCTGGGTGCATCCCTCCAGAAAGGACTTACCCCTATTTTAGCGCATGGCCTGGAAGCCTCAGGGAAGACAGCGCTATCTCAGGCCTGCCCATGTCCACTGCATTTACACAGCTGGTGTAAGAATCCAGAGGCTGGAACCAGGCTGAGGAGAAGACTGGCTTCTTCTGTGCCAATGCCTGGCAGCCACGGCACAGCTCTGATCCATGCCTGATAAACCCTAGAGCAGGAGTAGGGAACCTCAGGCCCGGGGGCCGGATGCAGCCCTTGGCTTGCCTGGATCTGGCCCCCGAGGCTCAGGGCTGCCCCTCAGCATTGGAGAGCCCACGCTGGTGCTCCAGTCCCTCCACCTCCCCACCATGGGGCTGAAGCACACAAAACCTACTAGCCTGCCCCCCCCCAACTCTGGTGTGTGAGGGGAATATGGGGAGTGTCTTTCCCCTCTCAGTCTGGGGCCACGTCAGTGAGGGTTTAGCGTTTGGTTTTTTGTTTGTTGTTTTGTTTTGCTTCTCACTTGTGTGAGGCCCCCGACTGATTTTTCTATGGGTCAGCGGCCCCCAAACCAAAATAGGTTCCCCGCTCCTGCCCTAGAGAGCAAGCCCCCTATAGGGTGTGGCCAAAACCCACAGGATTGGCAGCATAAACCCTGGGACCTCTGATTGGTCCAGGCCCAGTATTTAGGCCAGGAGGGAGCTCTAGGAAGCTGTCGCCAGGGCAAACCCTACTCTGGATTCCTGCTCGGTTTTTCCCAGACTTCACTCCAGTTCTGATCCTGGCTTGACTCCTGATTCCAGGCTCCGGGTCTCTGACAGGCCTTGCCCGCTGGTTCCAACTCTTGTGTCACGATGCCCTGTTCCTGCTCTGACTCTTGGATCTAACTGTTAGGCCAGACTGCCCGTGTCTTGGTTGGGACAGCTGTTTGCTTTTGTCCCGTGGAAGTGGGTGCACTGGGTGAAGGGGAAGTTCCTCGTGAGGTAATTGTGTGGGAAAGGGTCATGCTGGGGCAACCTGCTGGCATTGTGGGAAGGTGCTGACTTGATGACAGAGAGTGATACATCAGTGGAAGATGCTGTTGGCAATGAAGAAAGCCCTCGGGTCTTTCAAGGGAAATCTCCCAGAACTGAGTGGCAAGAGCCAACCCGGGGATGCGTTTCGCTGCTGTCTTCGTCGCTTGTGATCATTCCACCCCTGCTACCTAAAGGGAGTTTTTCTTGAAAGAGAAAACTTTTTTTTTTTGTTCTCCCAAGGTCTGTCAGACGAGGTTCTAATTAAAAGAAAGAAAGATGTAAAACAAGAATGCCCAAAATAGCTCCCTGAAAAGGTCAGGTGCTCCGCTAGTCAATACTTTTACCAAAATTATACTCCAGCTGAGATCTCCTATGACGATGACCTTCAGCAGCCTGGAGATAATAGCAGAGGGGACGTATGAACAGCTGGGGAGAAAATCCCCCCCCCCCCATTTCCCATTTTAAAAAAATAAACAGCTAGAGAAGAGAGGAACATCCTGAACACGACAGCAGCCCAGCTCTGAGTCGTGGGTGTACTCGGTGCAAGTCTGGAGGGGCTCTCCTCGGGTCAATGAGAGAATCGGTCTCGTGGTGCGGCTGAATGGAAGCTGGGTGCTTGGGGGCTCCTTTTAGCAACTGCAAGAGTCCATGTGCCTCCCCCCCGCAGCCCTTCAGATGCACCCCTGTTGCTACAACTCCAGTAGGGCTTTGCAGGAATGGGGCACTGTCGGAGTAGAGATCTGCCCACCCCAGCAGGCCCCGGTGCCGGCGGTTCTGGAACTGGGAAAGGCGGCTCTGTGCTGGGGTAGGGCCCCCCTGTGCCACCCTGGCATGAAGTAGCTCTGGGTCAGTTTACCCCTGGAACAACTCAGCGCTGAGTCTGCCAGGAAGAGCGAGAAACAGAAGTCAACTGGGGCACGATGGGCTTCGGTGCGGCCAGCCTGCCACTCAGAGCAGCGGGAGGCTGAGGAAAAAGCGGATCATTATCTCTGACGAGCGGCTCCCGCGCAGAGGGGCTGGCGGGGGACCAGGGTGAGGCGAAGGATATCGCGCCTGGTCTGTGAAAGGGAGAATCCGCTGCTGATGTGCTCCAGCGCAGAAGGCTGAGAACTTTAATGCTCACGGGCAGTCATCGGGCTGAGCTGGCCGGCCAGCCCGGGTGTTCCCTCTGGGGCACCCGTGGGCAGTGGCCTCTTAGCAATGTCCCACGTTCTTTCCCTCAAAGGGGTGTGATTGTGCCAAGTGTTGGCCTCTCCCTGGGGGCTGAGCTTCAGGCGCTTCTCAACCACACTCACTTGATTTGAGAAATTAGTCTCTGTCGCTCTTCCCCTCACAACAATCCGTCCATCCCGTTCCTTTGCTGGGCAATGCACCGACAGGATGGGGGCAGCCTGGGGGCAGTTGTCCGAAGGCAAAGGGCAGGGCGGGAGTGTGTTGCCTGTGATCACATGTTGGTCCATAGCAAAGTAGCGAAAAGAACCCCGGCCTTATGGGCAGTGTTCACTCTAACATTTTCTACCTATGTGCGGAATAGTGTTGTGTGCACTAAAGTGTGTGCGGAGGTGCACCACCAGTAGAAACATATGCTGCCGGTTGTGGGTGCTGTGGGTGCTCTGCTAATCAGCTGGGAGGCCCCTGCATCACCCCACGTGCTCAGCTTACAGAGAACACGGCTTATGGGTGAGTGATTGTCCAGGGGGCACCGTCCGAGGGCTGCAAGTTGGCCAGGCCTGGGCTGCAGGAGAGGGGTTGAATGCAGGCAAGACTGGGGCCGGCCGGGCAGGAGATGGGTGATGCCCACCCGGGCTGCCGGGCTGGGGGAAGGTGCTTGTGACCATGTGCCTACTCTGTGACCATGTGCCTACAGACCAGGGGCTGTACGGCCAGGGGAGCTCAGAGATTCTTGGCCGTGCTGCCCAGTCGGACTCTGGGCCGGGAGCTGGTCCTTGGGCCCAGCACCCCCACGCTGCAGTTCTCACGTACAAGTCCAGCCTGGGTGCCACTTTTCCTAAGGCCAGCCCTGCCAGGAGTCCTAACTGCCTCCTCCCTGCTCTAACCACTGGACCACACTTCTCTCACAGAGCTCAGAATGACACCAAAACTCCTGACCCCTCGCTGTCTCCCAGAGACACTAAGGTCACACGCCTTTCCCAGATCAGGGAATAAAACCCACATGCGGACTCCTAGCCTCCCGGCTCTAACCACTGTACCCCACTCCTTCCCATAGCAAGGAATAGAACCCAGGAGTCCTGAGCCCTTGCTTCCTCCCCACCCTAACCTGCTCTAACCATTAGACAACTCTCCCCTCCCTGAACAGGGACTAGAACCCAGGGGCTCTAACCACTGAGCAAACAGCCTCCAGGCTCCAGAGAGGAGCAGCAGCAGGAGCAGATGGGCCCTTGCTAAGCCTGAAGTGCAGAGGACCAGCAGGCCGGTGCCAGGTGCTTTCTACCCCTCGCACAACTGCGCCGGGGGTGGAGGGAGGTGGGCAATTCTCCAGCTGCCCTCTCGTGAGGTTTGCTTGGTGGCTGGCTGGGAGCAGGGATGGGGGCAGGTGTCCCCCTGCAGCCTGGCTACAGATCTGCTGTCTTTCAGGAAGAGGGGCTGATTTCAGCCAGGTCCCAGTGTAGCAGCACCGGTGTCTGCGGGCGGAGACTCAGGCCCACGGGTCTGGGCTCTAGGGCCGGTGGCGGTGGAAAGATAAAAGCCGTGATATCAGCAGGTCTTGGGGGTTAGAAATTATAGCTGGCTCCCTGGGCGGCTTCAGGGAAGGCGCAGAGCCACTTGCGATGTGAAGCTCGGCCCTTAGAAGTGATCTAAAATCCACCCCGTCGCATGGTGTGAAACGTGGGGCGCTTCGTGGGGACGTGGAGGAGGGTCACATTTGGGGTCCTTGCACCCAGGGGTTCCTGAGACACCGCCCCCCTCAAAAAAACCAGTTTCCTGCAGGGTCATCATCATCATGATGGGTGATCTAGGGATTTGTATCCATCCATCTGACATCATTTTCCAAAGTAGCTGGGGAAACTGAGGCACGGGGCAGAGACATGCCCAGGAGTCCCCACGCAGTGCGCTCGCCACTAGGCCACACAGCCACTGGGGCTGCAGCCCCGCCCGTGAATCCCCACCCAGGTCGGTCTGAGATGGAGAAAAAGTCCCGGGGAGTGGAGGGCTGGGGGGAGCGGCAAAGGAGGATCAAACTCTCTGCCTTCCCCGGGGGGAACGTGGAAGGGGAGGCTGCGGCCCCGAGTGAGTGACCACAAAGCAGAGCAGGGCTGGGCTTGCAGGGAATCTCTGCCCGCCGGGTGCTGAGCGCTCTTGAAAAGCTGCCCCTCCAGGCCTGCACCTCCTACTCATCACAGCGTGAAGCCCCCGCTTTCCTTGGTGCGGCTCCTGCTCTCCCCTGCCATGGGAAAGGTGCCCAAGGAGCCAGGGCAGCCAGCTGGGATGTGGGCAGCTTAGGGGGGGACGCAACACCCAGCTCTGCCACAGCCTCCCTGTGTGGCCTTGGGCCCATCACTTCCTCTGCTCTCTGATCGTCCTGCCTGAGGGGAGATGGGGACAAACACCAGCAGAGTGCGGGAGGTCTGGAGTGCTGAGGGCCATATCTGTAGCTAGCTACGTGGATCGGGATGTGGTCTGCTCTGCCATGGGCCCTGCCCACCAGCACCACGCCCTGCCCCGGAGGGAGCCACGTCTCGTGGGAGTGCCACAGGCCCTGGGGCGTGGCAAAGGGAAGAGCCCTTGAGTGGGCAGCTCTTGGTTCCTCTGTGGGTCCCTGAGGCTGGAGCCCTCTTGCCAGCAGAGGGTGGGACTGATGCCACTCAGTGGTTAAAGAAAGGGGCAGCAGGACCTATAAGAGATGTCTCCCTGCCTCCTGTGGCTGGTTTGGCTCCCCCTACTCGTGGCTCGCTCTGGCAAGAGGGTCCCCAGCTGGCCCGGTGCCTGGTTTTGTCCACAGACGTGTGTGAACCCGCTCCCTAGGGCTGTCAATCGATCGTCGGACCCCCGGTACTCCAAAGACCCGAGGGTGCACCGTGGTCTCTGAGCCCCACGGCCAAGGGTCCGTTCTGAGATCACAGCTGCCGGCCCCGAGGAGACGCCGACTGGCTCCGTGTCTCCGGCGTCCCCAGCTGGCCCGGTGCCTGGTTTTGTCCACAGACGTGTGTGAACCCGCTCCCTAGGGCTGTCAATCGATCGTCGGACCCCCGGTACTCCAAAGACCCGAGGGTGCACCGTGGTCTCTGAGCCCCACGGCCAAGGGTCCGTTCTGAGATCACAGCTGCCGGCCCCGAGGAGACGCCGACTGGCTCCGTGTCTCCGGCTCCTCACCAGCGCGGGAACAGCCTGGCAGAGCCGAGGGTCTTTCATTCTCTTGGCTTCTTTATACTTCAGTCTCACCTAGCAATCAGAGCAGACTCCAAACAGCTGCTGCTCGGCATCGGCCCAGCACCTGAGCATCCGCTGAGCTGCTCGGGACACGACCGTTGGACGGGCATTTCTCATCGCCTTTGCATTCCCACTTTCCATAGCCCTTTGCTGCTCTGCTCCCCCTGGGCACCTCTCTCCCCTGCTCTCCTCCCCACTGTGCCAGGATCCTCCACTGGCCAAGTGCCCGTCTCCCAGAGAGACCCTGGACTGAATGGAGCACAGAGAACGAGCCGGCCCCAAGGCAGTGGTCACCAAGGAGTCGATCAGGATCGACTGGTAGATCTTGGAACCTCTGACAGGTGATCCTGACCCGTTTGGCTGGGAGGCTGTCAAGTGCCGGCACTTCAGCTGCCCCTCTGCCGTGCTGCTCCCGCCCTCTGCCTTGGAGGTACCCCTCACCCCTGGGAGCCTCCTGCTTGATGTCAGGGTGCCCCTCCCCCCACCCTGTACCCCACCTCCACAAAGTGGGGGGGCAGCATGGAGGGAGTTAGCTTGCCTTAGCCCCACTGCACCGCCACCCAGGAGCCACCTGTGGTAAGCGGTGCCCAGCTGGAGCTGACATTCCAAACCCTGGCCCCAGTCCTGAACCCCTCCTGCACCTCAAACCCCTGCCCCCAGCCTGATAAAAGGGAGGGAGGGAGGAGGGGCGGGGCCACAGAGAAAGGGCAGGAAGGAGGCGGGGCCAGGGTGTTTGGGTTTGAGGTAGATCCTGGATTGCACTTAAATTCAAAGTGATCTGCTTAAAAAGGGTGGGGACCCCCGCTCTGGGGCACCGTGGGGCCTCGGTGAAGCTGAAGCCAAGGGAGGTTTTGCTGCTGACTTTGCTGGGAGCAGCATCTGGCCGTGCAATCCGAGGATGCCTGGGCTCCCTCTGCCCTTGAGGGACAGGCCTGGGCAGCCAGAGGACTGGGGAGGCGGCTGTGGGAGGGAGCAGGGGACAAGGGACAGATGGAAACCCCAGCTTCAGGCTCTGCTGGGTCGTGCTAGCTCCTAAGGGTGAACACCCTTGCCCGGGCCCATGGACCAAGCCCTGCTCTGGCCATGTGGCTGGGCTGCCCAGGGAGA